AAATCCATTTATGGAGTCTTCACATGGGTTAACTTCCAGCGAATGCTCTCTAACCATAGTGGAGGGATATGAATAGCCATGCTATGAGAGAGAGAGAGAGAGAGAGAGAGCACTGTAAAGTCAATTACGGCCTAGGCAAATAGGCTTTTAATATAATGCTTTATTATTTGATCTACCTTTTGGACCATTTATAAATTTCAGTTTTTAATATTGTCTGCTTTCTTTTTGATTGAGATTTTTCCTGTTTTGTCAAGTCAGTGTTGTTGGTTTTCTTTGTTTGCTTCTTGTTTGCATTTTGCATTATTGTCTGTATATGACATCCAGGATAGGTAACTCTATAGAGACTAGATTATTAATTACCAAGGGGCATGGTAGGGAATGTTGGGGGGGCGGAGGGCACATGGATGGGAAGTTAACAATGAGTACAAGAAAATAATGTTCTGAAATCGATTGTGGTGATGATTGTGCAACTCTCCTTAATATGACTGGTGAAATTGTATGATATATGAAGTATATGCCTATAAAAAAGATAATAGAATTATTCCACATACTTTTTGAAGCCCCCTTGTATAGAATGTCTGCAACTGTGGGAGCTCTGCTGTGTAGTCTGACTATGTGAGTCATTCCTGGCCAATTCTGGAGTCCACCCAGCTCTAAGCAAACAAGTAGCTGTTACTAAGCTGTAAAAATCATCGCTGAAAACTAGTGGTGACATGGACCTGTGGCAGGGAGCGTGCGATGCAACCGTCTGTTACAGCGCTACGCTTGCTAAGTGCTGAGTGAAAAATGCACACAGCTCACTTCTCTCTAAATTAGTTACTATGTCCTGGGTTGAGACTGGCTTTGAATACTAATAATGAGCCCAAACAAGACAGACATTCACCTTCTTCCACTTTTGTAAACTGAGGCTTGAGAGTGTAAGTGAATTGGTAAGAATCATAGTGTAGAGAACCTACATCTGAATAGTCATCTATATTTATATCATTTGTAAATTCAATGCAATGAAGAGATATTTACCTTACACAGGAAATCTGCCTGGGAGATCAGAAAGAGAAATAAATGGTTCTCTATACTGAACCAGCACCCCCGAGCTCCAACATTTATTTATTATATGTATTACGTAAGATAGGTTTGCTAAACTTAACATGTGTGAAAAAATAATTTCAAAAGCAAAAGCTTCTTATATTTTAGGCAACATTAAAAAGATAAAATACCTTTGCATTTTGGCTTAATTAAGATTTTGGATCTGAAAGATAGGCATTTTTAAATGACTTTGCTACTTTATGTAGATCTTAGTAAATGGCAGCATATAAAAGTTTACTATGAATTTTCATGAGAGGTGGCACTTCCAAAGTTATGGCCATGGTATTACGTTTTATTGTGACTGACAGGGTAGTGCTGCTATAATAACGTTAGCCTATCAACTTGTCCTCTCCCGAAATGCCTGAAGCACTTCGTTTACGTGTCAGATTAAAATAGATGATGGAGAAAATAAATGGGTCTGCATCGTCCTATCTTTCCATCAAAGGAAGCGGGATGGTGCCCAACTAACGTGGGGGTAAAAGTTTGTTTTTATAACTCCCCGAGAAAGGGTCGTGTAAAATGTCTTAACGGTGTTACCTATGTTTGCAGCCAAGCTTTCTGTGGACAATTCTCGTCATGTGGGATGAGTAAGGGCCAGAGTTTTAGGTTAACGATTAGTGACTCAATCGTTTTTCATTTCAATTGGGAAGACGAGGTGAGGCCGACCCAGCTGTGGCATGACTTACGGACGGCTGTCTGTCCTGCTCACTTGGAAGAGCTTTCCCAAACCAACGACTCGGTGCCGTGGGGGTGATGCAAACTCGTAACTTCCCTTTCGAACCCACTTTCCTAAACCTCAGGTTGCTTCTCTCCCTTCAGAGTTTGGCCTCATCCCAAAGCACATTTCCTTCTAATGCCAAATTCTCTCTGAGAACTTTGTTTCAAAAACCACACTGAGGATTGTTCTCTTTTTTCTCCTGTGGAGACTACCATATACACTTGTGTTTAAGCTGAGTTTTCCCAGCACCTTTTTAAAATGCAGTTTTTGTGGTAAGATCAGGTGCCTCGAGTGCTATTCGGGTTGGCTTATACTCAAATACATATGGTGCGTGCCCGGTCTCCCTCAGCTTCTCACCAAACTCACTGCCTTTGAGTTGATTCTAATGCACAGGGATCCCATACCGGAGTTCCAAGACTATACGCCGTTAGGGGGCCAGGTGGTCGCCTCTTTCCCGAGGACAGCTGCTGGGTTTGAGCTGAGACCCAATGCCTAAAACACAGCACCCGGAGCACACCTTCCCAACCCGACTACGCTGTGTCGTCCTGGTCTTGAAAAGACAACGGAAGTCTTCCCCCAACTCCTCTTCCTCCTTCTGCCTCCCTTTCTTTCTCAGTCCTCCAGCAGGAGAGATGGTCTCTACTCTTTCATTTCTTATATTCAGCCTCATTGAATCAGATCCTCCAAGGGGAGACACTGAAAAGATGGATTTAAAAGCACTCTGGAGATTTGGGTATGTAATTATGGTTATCGGGGCTCCTCAAGATCTCCCCTCAAACTCTTTCCCTGGACAATTTCATGACTTTTGGGCCTTACGTATCAGCACCTCCCTAAGGTAATAAGTGACCAATGAGAATTACTACAAGGAAGAAAAATCATTCTTTGGCTGAGTTTGGGAAAGGTTAAACCAAGGGTGTGTTACCGAAGGACTTTTGAAAGGCCTGTGTACACACGTATGCCATCTCTCTCTCTATACAACTTGTTAACGCCTCTTGTACTCTTCTAGAATGGGCTGACTGTATCCATATTGTTCTTGTGTCTAATTCCCACCTTCTCTAGGACACACTGTAAGCAGCCCTGCTGGCGCTTTCCACTAAGTGTTGGGCCACTCACAGCAAGATGAGCCTTCAAACCCACCAGCTGCTCTGTGGGCGCGAGATGAGGCTACGTGCCCTTGTAAACCTTTACATAGTCTCTGGAGCCCCATGTAGGGAAACCATGAGTCGGAATCAACTTGACGGCAGTGGGTTTACATAGTCTACTTGAAACACGACCCTGAGTATCAACAAAAGGCCAAACTTTCCCTTGACACTCTTTCACTCAAAAACTTCAATCACCCTTGAATTACCAAGCCACCTTTAAATTCTCTGGTTTGTCACTCAAGGCCTCGAATGATCTGGTGGAAACTTTTCATGATATCGTGAAGAGTCCAGACTTGGAAGTCAGACATAGTTGGGCTTCATTACATTTTGTCTTCGGCAAGGAACTTAAACCCATTAACTCTCAGTTTGCTTATAAAAGAAAGGGAGAAAATAATGATGGCTCTGCCTGCAAAGGTCATTTGGAAGAGGACACAGTGGCTATTCTTTCTTGTCTGGACGAACTTGCTGCCACCTACTGAAAACGGTAGCTCCCCAATGTCAGTCTGTGTCATTGTTAGCAGGGGTGCTGGTCACAAAAGGAGATGCCTCTGTGGAGGCCCTTCAGGAGCCGGCAGTCGGGTGGGTGGGGTGGGATGCTGTCAGGTAAGTGGTGGACTGCTCAGCACAAGGTGGCCCTTCTCAAAATCACCAGCTGCTGAGGGGGAAGGATGAGGCTATCTGCTCTTGAACTTGCCTGTGCAGCCTGCGTGGGCTCGAGAACGACACTGGCTACCCAAGCCACAAGTGCCTTGTGCATAATTAACCGCGGTTAATCTGAACTGAGATGCTCAATGCACTGTCGATGTAAGATACAGAACAGAGTTCAAAGGCTGAGAATGAATTGGTGCTAGCACATTAAAATGATCATTTGCATATATTATTCTGAATAATATATACTATTCAAATCCACTTGATCTGTCTCTTTTTACTTTTTAAAGTAGCTACCAGAATATTTAAAATGACATATGTGGGTTTGGCTCACCTGAACAGGACTGTTATAGTATCTGCCTTTCCAACGAGTTCTCTAGATGATTTTGTGGTTAAGTATCCTCAGATCCCATTAAGAGAAACACGATGTGAAACTCTAGTTCCTTAAAGAGGAATATTTAATGTCTCTTATATATTTTTATTGTTTTTATTAATCGTCAAATATTCACAGTATTTTGAACATTGGGGGCAGTTAACTATATACCGATTGCAGTTTGTATTTCAAATTTGAGAATAAAAATTCATTCAAAAAAGTTTTTTTATTAGTAGCTTTTCTTTTAGAACTCCGTTCGCCCACCCCCACCCCCACCCCAGTTTCTAAGGAATTCCTTTGAATTGCAATTGTTAGGTGGGACAAACACCTTGAAACTACCATTGGCTAGTTCTAGTTAACAGTTAAAAAAAAGCTTATTTTCTAAGAGAATTTAGGGGTTTTCCTCCCTATAACTAACTTCATGTAGAAATAGGCTATTTATTTTACCAAATAAATACCAAATTTTACCAAAACTTCTGGATATTGTCATACTCAGGTGCTTTGCTTGACTAATGTTTAAAACAAAATCTGGAATATGCAGTTTGGCTTTTTTTTCCCCCTACAGCAATTGAGTCAGATGAAGAAAAGAAGAGACGTCTCTGGAGGAAAGGGTGCTTTTACTTAGGAGTGACTGGGCTGAGGCTAAGAAGCCCTGCTTATGTAGTGGGTTAAGTACTGGCCTGCTGACCTCAGGGTCAGGGGTTCAAATCCACCAGCTGCTTTCAGGGAGAAAGACGAGGCTGTCTTCTCCCAGTAAGATTTACAGCCTCAGAAACCCTAGGGAGTTGTACTTTCTACCCTGTGCTATGGAGCTGCTGTGATGGACGTTGACTCAATGGTAGTGGGGGAGAGGCTGGCTGAGTATCCCGGAAGGAAACTGAGAGAAAACTAGGAGAGACCCAATTAAAATGATAAAAACAATGCTGGCATGCAGTGTAAGATTGGTTTCGGTGGGTGTCAGAAGAGAGTGACAAAACTGGAAATGACTTATAAAGGATATTGGGAAATGATTTTCAGAAAACACTTTGCCACTTACCTCATTGCTACATTGCTGCCATCGATAACTATTGGTCTCAAGTTTTCCCCATCATCGGTTCCCATCTCTGGCATTGGAGATTCAGACCTCTGAGATTCCAGGGAGGAGGTTTCCCGCAGGACACTGTTAATTATACTAACGGTTTGATCCGTCTCACTTTTATTGCCAAGTTTGACCAGTTCTCCTAGGATGTCATTGATTAAAGCATCAGTCCCAAGTTTGTTTAGCACAAGCTGAACCTGTTCTTCAGAATAACCTAACTTCAGTGCAAACTCCAGCTTGGTTTGGTATTCTCGTACCACATCAGGGGGCTTCTTCACTTCCTTGGATGCCGCCTGGGCCTCTTCGGGTTTAAAGTCCTGCAGGATCTCACTGCGTTTGAGGACGGGGGGCTCTAAACATGGAGACCTACACAGTTGTCTGTGAGTCTTGGTAAGTAGGCCCGGCTCTACGGGAAGGCTGCTCAGTTGCTCGGCCTCGTTATCAGAATTTGTGCTCTCCTCAGAGTCACCAGCACTGGTATTTTCTTCAGACACCTCTTTTTCTGTATCTTCCTTCCCAGAATGAACTTTATCCATTGTTGGTTTTTCTACCATTGGCCAAGGGACAGCTGCGCTTAAATGCGGGCCCGCTGTCTCCACATAAAGGTGACCGAGGTCGTGCGCCAGATGATCCTTCAAGCCCATGAAGCTGCTGCGTGGACTTGACTCCACTTTGCTGCTTTTTCTGTATTCCTGAATGCAAAGTGCTCCGTATTCCTAAGGGGGGAAGAAAAGTAAACTATTTAGGATTTCATATTTCCTGCTACATTTCCATCTTCAGTGCAGAAGTTTTCAGAGGGCCAATCCTCCTTTGCATATTGTCTATCCCCTCTCACCACTTTAATGCCATTGCCAAGGAAGTACAATGTACCTCCCCCTGCACTCACTCCCCACCCCCTATTTTCTTTAGTTGAAGAAGGTATGAATTCGGGAGGCCATGCAACCCTCCCAAAGCAACAGAACAAGTCAGGAGTGGAACTGGATTATTTTAATTGTGGTTCAGGTAGAAGTTTCGGAGCAAACTGTGCT